TGGAAATGGACAAAGTTAGACAATTTGTTGATGGTCTTCATCAGGAATTTCAAATCCCAGTACAATCTGAAAGCCCTACTACTCTTAATCAAGCCATAAACAAAGCCAGAGCTATTGAAGTAGCTTACTCTAAAGGAGGTGCTCTTTCTGCTTATTCACTTCTGCCTATTTCGTTTCAACTACAGTTCTATAAAGAATATATTACTCCTGCTCATTTAGCAGCTCTTACTCAACCACAAACTAGTAAATGTGAAGAGCTAATAGAAGTTGCACAATATGTAGTTAGAAATATGCAGCAAAACCAACAACAAAATCAATCTCTTCAAAACCAAAACCAAAACAATAATTATAATAATTGCTTTAGATGTAACCAACCAGGACACTTTGCATCTAATTGTAATGCTCCTTATTGCAATAACTGCCAACAAATAGAACATGTGGCTAGAAACTGTCAACTAAATCAAAATTGAAGACCTAACAACAATAACTATAATAATAACAACTGCAACAACAATTATAATTGGAACAATAACAATAATTAGTATAATAATAATTGGAATAACAACAATAACCAAAACAATAATAACTGGAATAATAACAATAATCAGTATAATAATAATTGGAATAACAACAATAACCAAAACAACAATAATTAGAACAACAACAATAATAGAAATAACAATAACTGTAATAACAACAATAACTATAATAATAATAATCGAAACAACAACAATAACAATCGTCAAAATAATAATAACAACAATTACAACAATAATAACAACAATAATAATTCTCCTCCTCTTAATAATAACAACAATAATAACAATAATAATAATAACAATAATAATAACAATAATAACAACAATAATAACAATAACCAACGTTAGCATTTAAACTAGAAGTGGTATCTCCAGAGGGTGAGCATACCCAAAACCAAAACCTCTTATTCAATGAAGAAGAAATAATATACTCATTTTTGTTGAATGAAATAGATAAATTGTTAGATAAAAAGGATGATGATAGTAATGACTTAGAAAACCAATTTCATAATCTTTGAACTGAGTATAATGAAACAATAGAAATACTCGGATTGAATACAGGTGAAATTAATTATAATATAGACAATATTGTTCA